GTCAAATATTGAGAAGACATATTTAATTTGTCTTTTGGTGCTTTTGCTATCGGCTTCATCAAGAAGTAATGCTTGCCCTATAGGCTATAGTCCTTCTTCATCCAGTAGCTCAAACTGAACAGGCCTAGCCTCCATAATGTTTCTTTATATTTCTTTTTATCCGTAGCACGGTCAAGGGCTAATCTCTTTCGTTGTAGAGGTCGCAGTCCCCTTTACCGTCAACGTGATGTGAAGTGGGCATAGTGCACATGCGACAGAGCAAAAAAGTAATACCAGTATTTTTCTGGGGAATAGTACTTTTTGAACGTAATGCGGTACTTTCTATTGCAGTACTTTCTATCAGATGCCTAGAATCTATGTATGAGTTATATAAAAGCATATTTTTTATGCATTTATTATTTACACTACCTGGGTATAGTTGATTCAGTTCAATTTACTGCACATTAATAATTATAGTCTAAATCATTGCTGGTTTGCCAAATACATGCAACCTAAACAAAGGTTGAACTGTAAATTTGCATTATGCACCAAGACATTTTGAAATAAAAATTGTATCAGGGATTTGGATTTCTTTGGTGTGATGGTACAAACCAAGAATTGCCCATGAAAGTCCCAAGACACACCTACAGAACAAAACAGGGGTTTCAGCAAGGACTGTACATTACTGCCATTACCACTAATAGGGCACGTAGCATAGATGGTGTGGTTGGTTAAGGATGTGTTCCAAAGAACTTAAGGTTGTGAGTTCGCATTGTGTCTTGGTATTCAATTTTTTTTTTTTTCAATTTAAAAATTTTTTTTTTTTTTTTCAATTTTAAGATATTTGAATTTGTTGCTTTATGCTTTGTAAACTGTAACAAGAGTAATACTACTATAATACTGTCATTATCACAATTTTTTTTTCAATTTTAAGATATTTGAATTTTGTACAAATGAACATTCTAAATACTGTAATAATTTTTTTTGTACAAATAAACATTCTAATTATTTAAAAATGTCTATCTTATTGGCGCTTCCAAAAAACCTAATATAATAACTTACCATACGTATCTAAGCGTGGAAGGAATGCATGGACCGGTGAGCATCGCGCTTGTTATTTCTTCCTTCTACTTCTTCTTCATCTTTTTTTTTTCTTTTTGCTGATTTACAGACTTCATAATGCTACAGTACTATTTCAAAAATTACATTACCAGTTGATTAAATTAAATGCAAGAAATATATATACACAAAATTGACTGCTCATGAGGGGAATGGTAAAATCTATTGTCCCGAGGTGATGATAGGCTACGGTCTCCACATCACCGAAGGGCACAGATTTCACTGTTCCCTAATTCTAGAGCAGTCAATATTTGTTTTATATAGATTCTACGACGCCTAAATAAGTACTTACTTCCTAGCCTAGCCTAGAGATTCAGGCCTAGACACTAGTCTAGGTGATCAAGGAGTGTGTCTTGCTCTTCTTTGCTCATTTCCTCAATTTCAATAGCACCCATCTTATTGCAATATCTGTCAAATATTGACAAAACATATTTAATTTGTCTTTTGGTGCTTTTGCTATCAGCTTCATCAAGAAGTAATGCTTGCCCTATAGGCTATAGTCCTTCTTCATCCAGTAGCTCAAACCGACCAGGCCTAGCCTCCATATTGTTTCTTTATATTTCTTTTGATCTGTAGCATGGTCAAGGGCTAATCTCTTTCGTTGTAGAGGTTGCAGTCCCCTTTACCGTCAATGTGATGTCAAGTGGGCCTAGATTTGCACATGAGTAAGAGCAAAAAAGTAATACCAGTATTTTTCTGGGGAATAGTAGTTTTTGAGGGTAATGCGGTACTTTCTATTGCCCGCTTCTTAACCAATCAGACGCCTAGAATCTATGTAATATAAAACTAGAGCATATTTTTTATGCTTTTATTATTTACACTACCTGGGTATAGTTGATTCAGTTCAATTCCTGCACATTAATAATTATAGTCTAAATCATTGCTGGTTTGCCAAATACATGCAACCTAAACAAAGGTTGAACTGTAAATTTGCATTATGCACCAAGACATTTTGAAATAAAATTGTATTAGGAATTTGGATTTCTTTGGTGTGACGGTACAAACAAAGAATTACCCATGAAAGTCCTAAGACACAGGTGGGCGAAGTGCTGCCTGTGGGCCACATGCGGCCCGACTGGATTTTTGGCGGCCCAGGAACATGAATTAAAAACCCTATGTGTGCGGCCCGCCAAGCAACATTTACTAGAAAATACCTTGTTTTTTATGGCCCAACACTGATCATATATAAAACTGAGAATAAAGTGGTGTAAAAGCAGTGCTTGGATGTTTTTGAAAGCACACTGGAAACATCAAAGTTTGGGTGTGGCCCTCGGTGTTAAATCAAGAATTAACTTTGGCCCTCCCGATTTTTATGTCCACCCCTGTCCTAAGACTTATTTCCAGTAGGGTCCTTCTGGTATGATAATTGGCGAGAACACCGGAAGACAATTCCCTACTTTTTTCTGAAGTGTGTACTGTGTTCCTTAATGTGTACATCAGTTATTTTTCACACAGGACCAACAGTGTGCTTTAGAAACTTACATTTCAGCCCTCCAGCTGAAACACAAGTAGAGCAGTGATGGGAATTGTACCGAGGACCAAGAAAGCTATCTTTAAAATATTATAACAGATAATAATAATAATAATAATAATAATAATAATAATAAAATATTATAACATAAGATTTCTATGTTTCTCTTGCATGGCATAAATTTACATAATAATAATAATAATAATAATAATAATAAAATATTATAACATAAGATTTCTATGTTTCTCTTGCATGGCATAAATTTACATAATAATAATAATAATAATAATAATAAAATATTATAACATAAGATTTCTATGTTTCTCTTGCATGGCATAAATTTACATAATAATAATAATAATAATAATAATAACAGTTAAATAAAAATTACAAATCAAAAAAAAATTAATAAAAATTAATTTAATTAAAGAAAGTATATCACTTCATAATGTGTAACCTGCTGAGAGTGTAACAAACATCACATAAATAGATTCCTTCGTTTTGAAGGGAAAATAAAAATGAAAACTTTATTATTTAATTTAATTAATGTATTAATGCCCTACCACTACAATCAATTGACTTTTTAAATTCATTGTTACCATGGCAATCGAGTATAAGCCCACCTATAAAGCCGGGCACTCACTGCTCGGTACGACGGTTGTATGACCGTCGTCAAACGAATCCAACTCCTATCCCTTAGATTGCTAGACGACGCGACACCGTCTGCGGATTGTCGGTGACAATCTGAATGGATTGTCATAAAAAAACGACCTGTTGCACGCCCGTGGGGGGCTCACTCTTCAATATTGCTAGACGGGTAGGTGCCGCATTTACAGGAGTATTTTTGAGGACTTGGTAGCACAAGTGTGGGAAGTACCAGGAAAATTTGGTAGTTAAAGTCCCTGCCCCGTCCCGTATCAAAGTCGCATAATTTTTCACACGATGTTAGCATAGATTTTTGCTAACCTCCGTGCTAAACCTACCGTTGATACATAGCCACGAACAGTAGGGATCGCGAACAGACAGAACCGCTGTCTTATTCGCCATTGGGAACAGTACATGTTTAATTTGGTAGGTTACATGGCCGTAATAGTAGTTAACCGACACCAGATTTTGGTAAATGGTACAGTAGTTCAAGTCCCTAATAATTTTAAGTAAATAGGTAGCGCAAGTGTTCAATTCAAAATTTACATAAAGAATTAATTCAAAATTATATAAAAAACTTAATATAAAAATTAAAATTAAATTACAATTAAAGATGTAAATGAATTGAGCATGATTAAAAAACAAGAGACATTAAAACAACAAAGAAAGAAAAAAAAAGTTAAGAATAAAGTAGCCCAAATCAAATAATAAAATAAAGTAAAAATAGATAATAGGCTTATGCATATGAGAACTATAAATCAAATTTGAATGAGGTCAGCAGATTTTCAGGAACAAAAAAAAAACATTGGTTTTGAAATGGGAATGCAGTCTTGAAAATTGGCTTTTTGATTCGCAATAAAAAAAATGTTTTCATGAACAAAGGATTAATAGGATGTTCATGGGAATACTTATACCAGAGAAACTATGGTAATTACCATACCAACTTTAAAAACTCTGTAAACAAAATAGGGTTCTCCCCTCCCCCATCCACTCTTATTGGCTGGGAACCATGACCAGTGACCACCATCTAAGGGCCACAGCTGGTGGTTAAGTTGGCTTATTTTTTTAACATTGAAAAAGTTTCTTAGTTCTTTATTTTTGTTTGAACTTCATGAATCAATTACTTCTAATAAGAAGGCCTATTATTCGATATTGGTAAGCCACGCGCCTCAGTATGTAATTACTTTACTTATCTATTTGTTTTCTTAAGATTGTTCATAAGATTAAAGATCGATGTTTCCTACCCTACTTTGTATGAGAGCAAACCTAACCCATCACAAGCCACTGTGGTTGATGAGAACATGAGATTATGCTCAGTGCTAGCATGGAGAATTGTCTTAATATCAAATACTGCAAAAAGAAAAACTAATTAATATTTAATTAAGAAATACAATAAAAATAGGCCTACCATCTATGATGCTCACAACATCTGCGACTTTTTATTTTAAATAAAATTGTCGTTCCAGCAACTAAAATTAAAACAGATAAGTCTACAACCTTTTTTCACCGAAAACTCTGGTAAAAGTTTAGTGGTTGTCTGACTGATAATAAGCGCGAACTTATTTCCGTCGTAATGTCATATTATAAAGAGAATTTTCTTTACAAGTTCATTTTAGTATTTGTTAAAAAGATTTTTCTTTACAAGTTCATTTATTATTTGTTTAAAAAAATATACGTGTGACAACTGATTTTTTTCTTATTATTTTATTCAAAATTAAACTAAGTAGGGCTCTGGTATATCTAACCTTTTTAAATGAAATAATAGAGCCTACTCACAACAAACTTTACAACATCAAAATAGTTTCAATGGTGGAAAGTCCGGTGGGTGTGTACTGTTGCGAAAAAGTGTTTATGATTGTCCAGATTGTTGGCGGGCCTGTAGAGTAATCTGGAGTAGAGGAAATTCATGGTAAGGCGTGCGTTTGATCACCTGTGGCAGGTGTACTTTTAGGAAATTCTAATCTTAACATTACGGGGACTTCATGGCCCAGCTAGCCATCGTTGAACTGTCGAGGATGGTGGGTGCTGAGTAGGAATAGGCCTACCTATCTGAAAGGACACACTTTAATGAATTATTGATCTCTACAATCAAGAATAGAATCGTTTTATCGATTGATTTGTGTAAAGGGCTACTATCGATTTCTTCCTTTAGGTCGTGTGTGGCATACAAAAACGTCTCAGGCTGTTTTAGTGGCATTTTTACTTACTTGCCCCCATACTTAGCAGCCATTTTTATGAGTTCAGTGTAGGCCTGCTCAGAATGTAATTACTTGGAGACTTAAGTTCTGAGCACTTCGGACGCATATGTACATGGCCATGGATGTTGTTCCGACAACGTATGTAAATCCAACGTGTTGATTGGTGGAACTGGCTTGACCTTAACTGTAAATGTTAGTCTCCCTATTGTAATACTATGGAATGTCAGAAGACTATCCATAGTATATTTATAAAGATGTACTTATGATATTTTTCATTGAACGTTAATTATCTCAATTATAGTTTTCCTTTTAAACGGGAGGCGC